AGTCACAGTAAAGATTTTCAAGCTTGTTTATCGGCACAATCAGTTTGTTTTCCCATCAAGGTCTGTTTTAACATGTGTAGGGACATCCAAATGTGTAAGGCTATTGGAAACCAAAAAAATAAAGGAATGGGATAGCTATATTTGGATAAATTCGGCATATGAAAACACCAAAATCAATGATTTTTTTCAGTAGCTGTGTGACCTTGTGTCTGACACATTCATATGCAAATGACTAATCTGTGAAACAAATAGGGGCGGAGACAAACCACTCAAATGTTTGGAAACACTCATTGTGTGTCAGATAGCTAACTGATAACACATCCTAACATTGCTTTGTCTTGAGTTTATCTTTGAAACTTATAGGCACACAGATTAAACCTGTGTTGTTGATTTTGGAAAACACTACTGAGGCTGCCTTGCTTTCCTTCAGAAAATCTACATTTTAACCAACTTACATGACATTCTATGTTATGTTGACTTTATCACATGAAAGTTTATAGTGCATTTCATCAATTAATAAATAAATGTGAAAATCGTAATTTTCAACACAAATAATAGTCTCGCCTCTTCATGACAATTGTATCAGTGTTACAAATTGCCAGTTATAATTTTAGATTAAAAAAAAATTATGTACATGTGAAATATACTAAGATTGAAAGTACATTACTGAACTGTATATGAATTCATTGATTAAAATAAAATTGTAAAATAGCCAAACTATCTAATTGTTATGAAGTGCCCAGTTTGTTACTTTTACTTTTTTTGGTCCTCTATTTTCTCCATTAGAAGTACATATAAATGTTTTTTGACCATAGAAATATCTCTGTAATTTATGTAAGTGCATGCACCACTAATAAAGTAAATATGATACCAAGTTTGATAAATTTATCATTTCCAAACCAATGCACTGAATCAGCATTGAACAAGTAGATGAAGTCAGTAATTATTTGGAACAAGCAACATTTGAAGATAAATAGCTTTTGTGGGGCTACTCTAGAGGGCGCTATATCATTTTACGCATCGTGTACATGTTCATTGCTGTATATATACATGCCAGTAATAGACAACTATACAATCATGGCAAACAGTATAAAATACTGGGCGATATACGCTGAATTTTCTATGAAACTATGATATTACCACAAATATACATCATTTTAATATAAAATGTCAAAATAACACCCACAAGTGTAAAACAAAGATAAATCTATACTATTCTCTTGTCAAAAGTCAAATCATTTAATTACTCAAATTAGCCATTGATTGATACAAACATAATACAATTGAACTACATACAGTAAACTAAACACTGTGAGAGCCTGTGCATTGCCTGAAAGAGTGAACAAAAATTTGCTGCAAAAAATAATTGATTTGATTTTGAACTGAATTTATTTTGAAGTTCAATGTTGAAGTTCTGATTTCAAGATGTCACTTTGAGATGTCCATATTGACCATCATTAATTGTGTATACTGAGGGGGTGACACATTATTAAGTGTGGAAATACCCAATACTTAGTTTTTCCTCATAATGTCTTAACACAACAACACTATGACCTTTGTTTGTCTTGTTTTCATGTTTGATTTCACGCTAAACATGGGATTTCACAGTGAACAGGAAATGTTCCATTTGCACAATTTGATGACACAGTTTTTGACTCATTCTTAACCACCCCCACTATATTCCTTTTCTGTATGTTATAATACTATGAATCGCTTAAATTCACCTGGAAAATATTTCATGGAGTCACCAAGAATCATGAAATTTTAGGGCAATGAACTATTTATTGGGGGCCTCAAGAAGGAGAATCACTTTTCAGGAAATTAAGACTTTATTAATGACTTGCAATTCTCAACTGCAGGTCATTTGGTATCAGACAACAGATAACAAGCTTACTTGTTAGGCACTGCAAACGCACATAATCAGGGTTTCAACTTTATTAGATTTCTCTGAGTATATATTTTACTTCTCTCACAAAGGTACAGATGTTAAAATTATTATAATTTTGGAGATAACATGTAAACAAATGATTTGTACAGTTCACATCTATACTGGTATAAAAAAATTCTGTTGAAAATAGTTTATCTGGAGTTATATATTCTATAGAGGGTGCCCCCATTGTAAAAATAATATTTTGATAGACTTGATTTGTAAAGTCTCAAATTAATGTCACTGTCACACACATGATTTCATAAATTTATTATGAAATATTGACAATAATAACTTTTGAAGAATATACTATTTGTTGATAAATTGAAAGTATATTTGAATCATTCTTCTTCCATAACTAGCGCCCTCTGTAAACTAGAATATGTGCTTTCTGAGATATTCAAGATCTCTACAGTAATGGATCAGCTGATCATGTTAGCATTCATTGATTGTATTGATTGTATTAGGTCTGAAAGACGTCAGAAAACACAGATTCATGGCAGTTTGTAGTACTGTAAAATACTTTATTTTATCTAGAATTGATTTTCACTGGAACGACTTTTAGGGTTTGTGTTTTATTTTCACTGATTTTTGATGACTTCAATGTAAAATATAGGGAAAAAAGTTTTTTTTGCTGGATTTTATTTTAACTGATTAGCCCCTTCGGCTAAAATAAATTGCAAGCAAAAATAAAGTATTTTACAGTATTTAAATCTACACAAACTGCTAACTTATGTTTTAAATATTGCTACTGTTATACAAATAAATATAAGTGATAAACTATATTTTAATATTGATTCAGCTCCTGCATTGTGGTATTCTGGATTATTGACTGATTCTCCTGCTGTCGTTGTCATGTCCACTGTCGTTACATCACCCTTTCCCATCTTATTATTGGCCCAGAGTTCTATTTGGTATCCAGTGTTTGGTTTCAAATTATTGATGGTGTACTGTGTGTCGTAGCTTGGAATGTTTTCTATTGTTTCCCACAATTCTACATCATTTGCGATGACCTGCAATTTTTGGCAATTTCATCTCATTAGATATGGCCTAACAACATACAATATTGGGTATTTCTTAAAGTTGAAATGAATGAAAAACAAAAGTTTGAGGCAATCATACACATGGGGAAAACAGTGTGCTTTACATGGATGACCAACATAACCAGTATAAGGAAAGGGCGGAGAACTCACTTGGATTTGTAGTGCAATCTTGGAATTATAAAAAAAATAGGTAAATAATATGCACAGATTTCAACTAATCCAATTTGTCTGTTGGCTTCAAAATTAGGGTTCATTTCCAGAAACATTGAAGAATATAGGGAAAAAAGTGCAGACAAATTTTGACGAGAAAGTCTGGTTGTAAAAAGGTTAATACTCAAATACTCAAGGCTTCAAACCCAATTTTGTCAACAATACAACTTTTAATATATTTACCTCTGTATATGCAATGCCATAGCTAATTAATTCCATTCCACCATCATTGGGTGGCATCCATTCTAAAAGATACAAGTCTTGCTTGTCCGACTTTGTTGAACTGATTACAACTGGTGCATGTGGTGCTCCTAGTATATAAATTAAACAAATATTTGTAAGCTTAGAATTTGACTCGTTGTTAAACTCTGTAAACAAGTAAAGGGCTTATTGGGTTGATTCTGAGTGTTGGCAAACTTTTCAGGTTTTTCCATTTGATTTTTGTGACTCTAATTTCATTTGCATTAACACTATTATAAGATAATTTGAAAAAAAGATTGAATCATTATTTATTTTGCGCAATACTATATATTCAGACCATGAAATTATTCTCATAATGCACAGTTCAACTTCAATTTATTGCTGTCCACTGATCTAAAATATTTAAAAAAAGACATAGGGTTTTTGACTTTTGGCAAAGTTATATGTTACAACTCGTATTTAAAATTGAGATAATCCTACAGCCAAATCTAAAAATTGAGTAAGTTAAGGCTTAGCAGGAAGCTAGTGTGCTCTCCACCAACAGAACTGATTTTGTCAAAATATCAAGTTGGGGAAGGATGTATTCATAAGAATGTAGCTGTAGAGAGTGTTTGAATTCACAAACCTAAAACATTTTTGGCACTCAAGCTCCCTTGTTTTCACACTTACTTTTACATTTATTTTGTGAATTTCATTTTATCAAATTACAAATTCCATAACTATCATAAGATGTTTTTAAGGATGCAGTAGAGTTATTTTCGTGAATTTTGCTTTTTTTGTTATTACTTTTGTAAAGTTATTGGGCTTATAATTTTATCAAAATTAAAACTGAAACACATCTAGAATACCTTTTTTTTAAAAAAATAAGAAAAACTACTTGTATAACGGGATACTGTACACTTTGTTTTTGAGATAAAAGTCTGAACGCAAACAATAACATTGACTTATTGCGTAATTTGCATAATCCCTTCACGACGGAAACAGTGCACACTGAAGACGACTCAACTCCGGCTTCTGATTATTGATCAATCACAAAAAAGAGGCCCCCAAGGGAAACTCAAAACGCAGTTCAGAGGAAGCGAAACTTTACCTATAACAGAAACGCATTGCCGACAGTACAATGGGGTTCACACTTTGAGTATTCAAACCAAGAGGGTAAAATTTCGTCAGCAAAACATGATCAAAAAAACATCTTCCAAAAAGTCGGGCAGACAATTTAATATCAACCGAAAATCTGTATTGGTCAGTTTGAAAAAACTCGTGTCTTATGTGGGATTACCGCCGGGCCACCCATCTACAAAGGTCCGTACACGAACGCCATTTCCGAAGTTGCGGTGGAAGTCGAGTGTCTGCTAGAACAAGACAAAACATCGGATGTTGTGGAGTTAACTCGCACTAGGGATTGGCGTTTAGGCATGTCAACCTTATTCTCCGGTTACTAGGCAAGACTTTGATTTACAGACCACGCTTCGCATGTAAACATGATTTGAATATATAATGAGATGACGTCATTTATCTCTCTAACTGTTCAACGTTATGCGGGGCCGCTGTGTACTGTAACAACTTCGCTTCTTTTTGGAGGACGAATACGGGCCCAAAACTTTATAGTTTTGGAGTTTAATACTGCAAGGCTACTAAGTGACTCCATGTTATGTGTTTGTTGTAAAAATCAGTCTATCTGATGCTTTAAATGTCCAAAATTAGCGCAAAATTAGCGCAACATGACAAATGTTTTGTTTTTTGGTGTTTTCAGGCAGAAGAAATCTGACGCCATAGAGGTCATTCAAGTGAGTTGTGCGTCGTCAGAAATTAACCTACTTACATGAAGTTCACACACATTGATAACGTATTGCCGCAGATAAAACCCTTGAAGCATTTTTTGATAACTTCTCGCAATGAAAAATAAAAGGCTTTTAAATTCCTTGTCTATGGGTGAAATAACAGGAAAAATGTAAATTGATGTCGTTGTAAACAAGTATGCCATCTATGTTCTAACACTCTCGAGGCATTGACAGGGCTAATGCTGCCTTGATTTTTCAGCTTTCTTTTTTTACAAAACCCCTACGTTTTTTAAACAAAACTCATTTTTATTCAAAATAACACCTCCATGTTTACTTAGTAATCACGTGACTAATTCGTGGTACATGTCACAGATCATTTTTTTTCAAAAAGCCAGGAACAAGGGCTTCAAGAAAATATATAATTTGCTATGCTTCAAAACACTTTTCCTCATGAAAACAGTTTTTACTTTTTAGAGCATGATAACTCTACCGCATCCTTAAATCTACACTACACTATACTAAATATAATATGAGTTCAAAAATATTTGAAATCAGAAATACATGCAACAATAACTGACATTTTACATTTAGTTTTGTATGTATTGTACTTTATTACTAACATTTTATTGCTGTCAACCAATGGAAGTTATTTCTGAAGATGCAATAAATTCATTATTATTATAATACTATACTATACTATATACCGGTATACTATATCAATGTATGATGTTCTGCTGTGTCATTGGGGTACCAAGGAATAAGCATTACTTGCATGCAATGCAAACAATCACAGTGTCAGTAACTCATCATATCAGTTTAGAGAACAAAATGTACAACATGTACTCACTGTAATCACTTGTTTCAAATAAAACTGGTTCTGTAAATGCACTGTATCCTACTTCATTCCTGCATGCTACTTTCAATGTATATTCAGTTGATCCTTCTAAGTCATCAAATCCAAAATCCATTCCTGAATTAATAAATGAAATGAGATGTACATTACACAGCTACTGACAAAGAGTATACTTCTGTACAATAAGTAGTTGTTCATGCTATATGGGCTAAGATTTAAGATAATCTTGTATATTTGCATATTGGATAGACCCAATTGTGTTCACGTATCGGAGGAAACAGTAAATAGCATGAGCTTAGCATTCATGCAAACTTTGTTAGCCCATGCTAAAGATCTGAATCAGTTCCTTAGGGTGTGCCATGCTAAGGACCTGGATCAGGTATTAGCCTGTGTAAGGATCTAGATCTGGTCTTGGCCTGTGCTAAGGATCTAGATCTGGTCTTGGCCTGTGCTAAGGATCTAGATCTGGTCTTAGCCTGTGCTAAGGATCTAGATCTGGTCTTAGCCTGTGCTAAGGACCTGGATCAGGTATTAGCCTGTGCTAAGGATCTAGATCTGGTCTTGGCCTGTGCTAAGGATCTAGATCTGGTCTTAGCCTGTGCTAAGGATCTAGATCTGGTCTTGGCCTGTGCTAAGGATCTAGATCTGGTCTTGGCCTGTGATAAGGATCTAGATCTGGTCTTAGCCTGTGCTAAGGATCTAGATCAGGTATTAGCCTGTGCTAACGATCTAGATCAGGTATTAGCCTGTGCTAAGGATCTAGATCTGGTCTTGGCCTGTGATAAGGATCTAGATCTGGTCTTGGCCTGTGCTAAGGATCTAGATCTGGTCTTGG